TCAGATAATTATTTATTAAAAGCTAGACATTTTAAATGAGAATAAGAAAGAAAAGTATGTCTTTGTGCCCCCTTTTCCCTGTTAATTCCCTATCGGCCCCCCTGGCTAAACTTTGCTAGATCCGCCCCTGCACAGTTACCAGCGTCAGCTACGTAGAAAACGTTACGGCGTGTTGCAAGTTTTGTGAGGTGCTTTCGTGATATTTAATGGATCGGATTACATTTTTTATTTTTCTCCGATATCCGATCCAGTAATTTAGGTCAGTATCGGACTGATACGTAATATCGGATCGGTCCATCTCTAGTTTATATACATAATGAGTTGAGATCAGGAGTATTTGTAATTGCGTGTGTGCCACATAAGCCCGCAGCCAGTCTGTGAAAGCCAGTATTCAGGCTGGGTGATAGGGGATAACATTTCAGTTGATGAGACTACCGTAAAAATTTAAGACTGTTCATTTGTTTGAATGGAAAAAATTCAGCAGGGATTCAAATAATTATTTCCCCAAGTGTGAAAACACAGATATCTGAAAATCAGTTTTGATTGGTCCAGATGAAATTTCTACAAATAGATCAAAACACGATATCTTTAATGAATGTTTCCACACAGCAAATTGTCACTTCCACTAGCTGCTGCTCGCTTCACTGATTAAATGTTAACGTGTTCAGCACACTTAAGAAGACTTTGGTGTTCTTTGAAGGTTTGAATGCTATGAAACACTAACAGCTGTTAATATCCTCAAACTATGAACTCATGCATCCTGCTCACATGAAAAGACTGAAACAGGAGTTTCAAACGCACTATTGTGTAACCACAGTGCACAAACCTCTGAGAGGAAGGGTCTGTGTTGGCTCTGCAGTCGTTCAGGTGTCTGCCGCTCAACACAGAGGGTCAGGCGCAGAGTCAAGATGAGTCTGGGGGCTCCAACCACTGCAGTGGGATGCCAGGCTGAGTAAATGAAAGGAGTAAATAAGACATTTGTGCCACGCAGAGGCCAAGCTGAACTGGATGACCTGTGACTTGATTAAAGTTGTATATCATCACAAGGGTGGAGTGAGAAGAGCCTTTTTCAGCCTCGGATGGCGCTGCACAAAATCTGCTAAATGTCCTTAAGCAACACTGAGTTGCTGAAGGTGAAAGTGGTGAAAAATTAGGGGGTGTTGCACTGGAAGGAAGCGAGCTTATTGGATCTGTTTGAAGCTGCAAAGTTGGTCATATCTGAGCTGTCCTACCTGCATTGTTCAACATTCCTTAAAAATTGGACGAAGGGAACATTGGCAATGTAGGCAGTGCTGCTGAATCAGTGGAGTCCTCTCAGGAAGGCCAGATTCTCCCATTCGTCACATTATAACTTAAACTGTCCCAACTTTAAATCACTTTTCCTTGGGTTTAATGCCATGCAAGTCCTGCACTGATACCTGAGGAGTTGTGGGACATGAACCATCAAAGAGCCTGTGGAGGTACATTTACATGCACTCCTCCCCAAAACCAGCAGTGTAGCTATTAATAGGACAGATGCTGAAAGTTGGCTTGAACAGGGAAAAGAGCAACAGCAGAGTTTACCATGAAGAGGGAAGAATTTCTTCTGGTAACTTCTATCATCATAACTTACAATCAGTGCCATAAACTGACCTGAAAAACTCGTATAAATTGTAACTCAGGTTTTTCTTTTATTACTAAATGCCAATTCTCTGCAATTCCTCTCATCCCTGTAGGTTGAGTCGGCGGTACAGGCGATCCATCAGGGCAGACGGGAGCTGCTGGAAGAAGCTTGTCGCTCCTATACCCGCAAACGCAGAGTCCTCATCCCCGAGGACCTGAAGCACATCATCGTGGACGACCAGCACGGCTTGCTCTACTGCTACGTGCCCAAAGTGGCCTGCACCAACTGGAAGCGGGTGCTCATGGTTCTGACGGGCGTTGCCGGGTCCAACAGAGACCCTCTCGCAATCCCTGCCAACGAGGCCCACATCCCCGGAAACCTCCGCACACTTTCTGAGTACTCCACCTCCCAGATCAATCAGCGGCTGCGCTCATACCTGAAGTTCGTCTTCGTGCGCGAGCCCTTTGAGCGGCTGGTGTCTGCGTACCGCAACAAATTCACGCGGAGCTACAACACAGCCTTCCATAAACGATACGGCACAAAGATAGTGCGGCAGCACAGGCCGGACCCGCAGCCGGAAGCTCTGGAGAAAGGAAATGACGTCTCCTTTGAGGAGTTTGTCTATTACCTCGTGGACCCAGCCACCCAGCGAGAAGAGCCCTTCAACGAGCACTGGGAGCGGGTGCACTCACTGTGCCACCCCTGCCTCATCCACTATGACGTGGTGGGGAAATACGAGACGCTGGAGCAGGACTCCCGCTACGTGCTGCAGCTGGCCGGGGTGGAGGACCAGGTCAGCTTCCCCGCCTCATCCAAGAGCACCAGGACTACAGGAGACATGGCTGCCCAGTTCTTCCACAACATCAGCCCTTTTTATCAGAAGAAGCTGTATAATCTCTATCGCATGGACTTCCTGCTCTTCAATTACTCTGTACCAGCCTACCTCAAGTTTAGATGAGGCTGGATTTCACTCGCGCACACAGAAACTAAATTACAGAACCTGGACACCTGCAGAAGAAGCTTCTCCATGCAAACACTGCAAGTTCTGTTTTAAGAGAAAGAAGAGCAATCCTTATCAGAGCTCCAAAGAAAACTAATTTTATTCTTGAGACCGAACATTGCGATGGAGAACTCTTGAAGGAATCATAAGATCAACATTGATGCCTGAAAAAATAAAACAAAAATTTTAAAAAAGGCAAATCCTCTTGTACTGTAGTTATCGAGCAACTAGATGTTGCTCATTGCTTTTGAATGTGTGAAACAGGGTTGGGCGATATGTTGAAACTGTCCAACCGGGCCACCGTCAGTCCAACTACTGCATTGCTATAATATCTGTTTGCAATCATAAAAGAGATATTTGAGGAAAAGAAGAATCCGCTATTTGGGTTTATGGTTGTAACTCTCTAAGGTGTACGTCATCATACGTGATAGCTCTAACCGTATATTTATGAGCGAGGCAAAACTGGCTTTTCTGTTGTCAGCCAGAATGATTCGTTTCTTTGTTCCCAGTTTTCCAAATCTTGGGAGAAAAATACTCTGACTGCCTGGAGTTGGAGTTAAGGTTAGATTAAGGTCCAATAATGACAATTTAAACCTCAGACGGTTCAACCGGACAAACCAAAGGATCTAAACTAAGCAGTAAGATGAAGTGCGTCCACGCGGTACAAACAGCAGGATAACCTGCTTGCTAATTGATTAGGTTGCTCAACTGTACATGTAGTTTTTGGTCTACTTGTTTAATTTGATTGAATAATATAGATGTTTTTATTCAGTGCCAATCAATTCAACAGCAGCCACTTAAAAATGGCAAAAGTGTTTAGTGTTTTGTGAAATGTTTTCCTATACATGTACAGTATGAATTGAGCTTCGATTTAGTCTAATATGTCTCCATTTAAAAAAAGACTTCTGCTTGTAATTATGCAGAATCACAACCTGAAGCTTTTGGCTTTTGCATGCAGGATGTGAAGAGCGGAAAAAGGGAACGCATCGCCGAAGTGCAAACTGAGAACTGCTGGCTTTTATTGGACAGTAATTTGAATCTAAATTTGAAAATGTTCATCAGTGGTTAGTAGAACAAGCGTTGGCCTGAATATCTGCTGGCACTCCTCAAAGCTCAGAGGAATCATTGGATAGTAGAAAGGTTGATCGCTTCCTGGTCCATTATGTTAGCATAATATGCCCAGCCCCACCCACCAACCAAAAAGGAGCAAGAAAGTGCAAAAAACCCGGCTTTGGACTATATGCGATATAAACGGATATATTTTTCCGATCACTCAGTCCTAGCATGGAATATTTTTGGCTTCATTTTATTCCGGTTGTGGTCTGCTGTTTTTTAAAAGTGTATTTGCACGACAAACGTTATTGTTGCAAGTTCCATAGCATAATGATTAAAGTATTAAATTCATGTTTAGACAGTGAATGTCTCTCAACATGTGTGCCTTTGCTTTTGGGCCTTTTGGAGGGGGGGTCAGTTCTAAATGACAACTTTTGTAACTGTGACTTTGTTTACTTTTTCGTACTGTAGGAGGAGACTTCTGTGTGAACTATGATATTGTCTTTATTTATTGTGCCATTTCTGATTCCACAGAGTCAAACATACCAAAATAGGTAAAGTTTCTCTCACGATTTTCAAATAGAATGCATCTCAGAAAGAACTTGTTAATTCCTTAATAGTTACAAGAATTCTCACTGCAATAATGCAGAATACGCCGGGCACATTTTGCATGTCAATCTTTTATTGAAATGATAAACCATGACTGGATGTGACCTAGAAGTGTTTATAAAGGCAACGGTACTACAAAGTCCAGTCAAGCGCGATGTCAGTGGAAATAGGATTAATTACTGTTTCTGAGTGCTATTTCCACACTAATGACAAGCTAAAAGTGCATATCAAACAATTGAGAAGGCCCCATACAGAAAAGTGCATACTAAATCATTTGTTCACAAAAACAGCACAAAAACAATCCGTGCCATCAATACACATAGACACGGTTAAATACGACAGGCTATATTCAGTGGCATCGTGCTGCACAAAAAAATAAGAGATCCAGTAGAAATTTGGCAAGAACCAACTGAAGGCTCGTCACGGTTTAAAAGGCACAAATCTACAGAAAATAAGCACGATTAAAATCTAACATTCATCCAGACTGTGCAACGCCTAGTATACATTTACACTCAGTATATATGTTATTGCCTGAATACGATCATTTGCCGTGTAACATTTAGGAGCTGACAACAGTTGTACAGATGTGCCAACAGTTATTACGGTGGTTCTACATTACTCCCACTCGCTGCATCCACTTTGAATGGACTGTGGTTTTGATAATGGCCACAGTGAGCTGGTGAATATGGAGACTAAAGTGCAAAACAACTCCACCCTGTCCGCGTGTTTATTTATTTTTTCTTCCACCACCTGTTTCCTGTATTCTCTTTTTTTACATGCTGCTTATCTACAGTGGGAATATCTGTGCCTCAGTGCTGGGTGTGAAGAGCTATCAGCAGTAAAAATTGATATAAACTATAGTGCAAAAGTCCCTCATTTCTTTATATTTTGCTAAAATGGGTGCAATGTAGTATGCAATGCAAAAACAGTGTCTGTATGATTGTAACAAGCTTCAAAGCATTTTTGTGATTTTGTTCAGTAGCCCTCACGATTAGTTCTCCAGGCTTTTTGAAGGACACTCAAAGCTCTTCTCTGGATCTTTCTACCTTTTGTTCAGTTCTCTGCCGAGATCACTGCTTCAGTAATGTTGAGGTCCGAGCTCTGGGGAGGCCGATCCATGACTCAGTGCTGCACCGTGTTTTGGGGATCATTGCCATGCAGACAAATGAAGTTGCTGCCAATTAAATGCTTTCCGTGTGGTATTGCATAGTGGATCACGATCTCCAACACCAGTTTCCTCACATTTTTTAACAACACACTGCACACCATGGCAAGAGATGCCAGGTTTTCAGATAATACCTGTTCATAAGTCTGTGTTAATTGGCTTAACAGACAAAGTATTCCTCTGAAAATGGTCCGGTACAAGCACTGGACTGAAAATGGGTGAAAACTCAGCCAATGTCCAAAGAAAAACTTTGAAAGACCTTCTGAAAACCTGGAGAACTGTTGTTCAAGACCTTCTCTTGAATGGGGAGGGGAAGCAACATATAATGAAAGGATGGGGAGACTCGAGATTATTGCACAGTAGTGTATGTTGTGAATAAATTATAACCACACAATGAATGATTTACTTTTCACAAAATAAAATCTGTTGTGATTGTTATGTCTGCTTTTTTACAAACAACAAGGGTCACACAAACTTGGTGGGGAAAAATTCAGGAACTATGAGGGACTTTGTTCATCAAGACTTCCTTTATCATTTCCTATCTAGGATGTTTTTAGGGATTCGTTTTTTTACCCAAAATTGCAAAAGTATCAAAACCTATTTGGACCTTACAATGAATGTGACACAGCCTATGAAATGTATGCTAGTCTAACCAACACTATCAGATATTTTTGCTTTCCATCACAGTAACAGCCTGTTTTTGCTGCAGTTATGAAACTAAAATAATGAGAACTGTGTACTTTTTCATTACCAACAAAACAGAACAATAGCTATTAGCATGTTTGGACAACAGGCTGAACCAAATTATTACCTGCTGTTTCTTTGTCACCTCAAGTAACCCAGCTAAGTAGATACTCGTTACTGTAGCATTCTTTTACATGTAAACTGCTCTTTCTGTCGCTTCAGGCTGAAGGTGAGGCTCTGTACTTCATTAGGGGGAATACAAAAACATGTAAGATCACAGTAGGAAACAATGGCAGCAAAGCAGGGAATTAGTTTCATTTACAGGCTATTTACTAGCTATTGTTTCACTAATGTAACATCTCCCAGCTGATTACTTTGGTAAATAATCATCAGGAGGTATTAGGGAAGTGCTCAGCTCATTAGTGCTCAGCTTCTTCCTTATTCATTCCTCAGTTGTTCTTTAGCAAATATTTCAGTCCCTTGGATGTCTCCTCACTCTGCTGTTTCTTGAACGTATTAAACAGTTATATTTTAATAAGCTAGCATTGTATTCTTTCTTGCAAAATACTATCTAACAAACAAAGTCCTCCAAGCTGTCTTTATCACAGTGCAACAAACTGGTGACTACGTTTAAGCACTAATATACTTCAGCTTTGAGTTTCTGGTGAATTATTTATGAGATAGATTGGAATACACCATTAGAGTTAAACTAGTAACCAATAATCCTACTAACAGGTGGACTAGAGACCAAAACAGTACACCAGACATTACCTGCTCCAGCTTTGGGCCGGCTGTAATTTACACAGATCTGACAGTGTGGCTGGTGTGTTTATTCTCCCCTACATGCTAATGTACCAGCTGTCTGTTACAGACCACTCAGGCTCCGTCTGACCTCATCAGAAACTTCACAAAGACAATTCAATGGCAGCTGGACAAATACCGCCTACAGATTGCTTTGTATGTAACTGTAAGGCTTGACAGTCTGTCTGAACACAAATATCCCTTTTGTACCAGTGTGGTCCCAATGCAAGTCTCCAATCTAGAGCTAAAACAGACTTTGATTGGTGCCAGAAGGCTGGTACTACCAAATTGCTGGGCCCAAAGATGAAACCACTGAATTGGTGGTTACAGGCTAGACTACAACATGAAATTCACCACTGATTGGTAGATGCAGCCTAAAGACTGTGTTCGTGGAAAAGAGGTAACAGCTGTGCTGTTTCATGGTCAACAGAAATGTAGAGCAGATCTTAAAGTTTAACGAATTATGAGGAGAGAATTAGAAATCTAATGAGTGAAACTGTGCCCTCGTACTAAATATGTTTCCTTAGCTAAAATTCCATTCTTCTTTTCATGATAATGAGCGTAGAAATAACACCATCTGTCCTCTTGTTCCTTCTTTTCAGTTCGTTTTGGCGTCTTGCACACAGGGAACAGTGCATTCAGGATGTGCAGGACTATGTTTCTGTATCAAAGTCCAGTTTGAGTAGAGCTGATCATCACAATCAGCCTAAAGCTCAGAGCCAAGAAGCCAGTACCCAGCAGGTCACCGAGAGCTGTCAGGTAGGGGATGGAGAAGTTGTCTGGATCCAGGCCCCTGCTCCACAGCCAGCGCACCATCAGGCTGGCCACATAGAGCAAAATCCCCACCTGCATAGTGACAGCAGTCGCACATGTTTCAAAGATGAAGACTCTTTGTTTCTTTTTAAAGTACACAGTTGTTTTGAAAATGAAAACCTTTAAGAGGATCTCTGACCTGAAGCAGAGCTGCAAGCAGGAAGCACATGATGAACATTAGGGTCATGGCAGTGTGACCTCCCTGCAGGAGGTGGATGGTGTACAGGAAGAGGAGGTGACCTGGGACCACAAGGCTGACCAGGACTCTGGCTGATTTGGAGTTCACATCTGAATAAACATGGAAAGAAAGTCATAAGGGACTGTTCAATAGGTGCACATTAAAAGCCTATTCCCATGTCTCTCTGGCTGATAGTTAGTCGACTGACTTTTGAACCATACTAGGAGCAGCTAAGATCCTGAGACAGAACCAAGCAAACATGGCTGAAACTCAACTCACATGTAAATAGTGTATTTGTTCAGTATCTAACCTGAAGAGAAGAAGGTAGCACAGGGTCCAGGACACTTCTCACTCATGTTGAGCGGAAGAGCTCCAGGAACACTCCAGTAGTGGAGGTAAGTAGACATCCTGCTGGCCTGGATGGCCACCAGATTTCCCCCTACACCTGTGTGGATATGAACAAGTATTGAGCATAGCTGATCGTGTTTGACATTTTAATAAAAACAGCAATAACAGGACAAAAAGCACAACTGCTTTCCAAGATTCCACTGAAAACACCAAAGAAAGGGTGGTGTTGCTGATGACAGGAAAGCACTGCTCAAAGTGACTTTGTAACCACTGCGTTGCGTTTTATTTATGTGTTAATATGGCTGTATTACTGTGGTATTTGCAAACATGCATATATCATAGAGTGCATTACAGTCATCACTTGTTAAGCCATTGTTCCCTTTTCATCTGAGAGTCACACGAGAGGCTGAGCAGGCACTGGAGAGTTAACGGAGTTATCTTGGAAAAATAACTCACCGTCCAACAACTAATTTTGCTAGGAATCTATTCAGCAGTTATTCCTACAGCAGGGTCTCCCGGGGGCTTTCTTCTCTGAATGTCTGGAAAAGGCATACTCATTGTTGTGCCATATTATTCCCAATGCTGCTCACCCCTTGGGCTGATGTCATTAAAAACAAAACCTCCAGGATTTGCTGAGCTTTGGAGCACATGGCTCATTTGAACAAAAAAATGGAGGAGTGTTTCTGGTCAGCAAGGCTGCAGAGGAGAGCTCTGAATTGGAATGCAAATGCACTTCCTGTACTGGGATGGCAATACATGCAGGAGTGTTGGGTAGCACTGAGGTTGGCAGGGATGCTGCGGAAATGAGAGCCAGTGAATGCATAGTTGGCATTCTGATCAGGCTTGTGGTTTATGTAAAGACCATTGTTATTCCTCTCTACTTAGTATGCCGCTTTGTGGACAGCAGGCTGGCCACAAAGCAAAGATCTAGCCCACTTTGACAGGAAGGAGACTCCTCGAAATCAGCAGCACATTAATGTCTCATGATTGAGTAAGCCCTCAGATTTGAAGCCCTTTAAAAGCAAGGCTCAGCTTGCTTACCGCCTCGCTGTCAGGGTGTGGACACAGCAGGACTTATAAATGATGGGATTAACTGCTGGGCTCTTGCAGGCTTCAACAATTTCCACATGACATCAGTTGGCTTGATGTTTTTTGTTTTTTTATTGATAGCAATTAAGCTAACTATGAACTATTCTTCAAAGCTGAGGGCAGATGAAAATACCATAAACCTACATTCCTGCTCTCCATTCTCCTTCAGAAAACATGCCAGCTTTATTTATTTATTTTTAAACACACATAGAAGATATGCCACTAATTGTTTCACCATAATCAAACAGATATCCCTGAAATGTCTCAACAATCATTAGATGGATAATGCGTCCCTAATGAGATTTGAAACATGATAAACAAGCATGCTGATGTTGCCACTGAACTGCTGCAGACGCGTTTATGAGTGTGGTTATTTTACTTAATGGAGCAGGATTTAGAATCAGGCTGAGTCAGTTACACCATTTTACAAAATTAGGCAGTATGCAAAACACACAATAACATTACTGCTGTTGCATTTACCTCCCACTGTGGGGAAATAATTATTTGATCCTCTGCTGAATATAAAAGTTTGCTCACTTCCAAAGAAACAAGCAGTTTTGCATTTTTATGGTGAAAGACAGAATATCAACCAAAAATCCAGGAAAGACACATTACATAAAAGTAATAAAAGAAGGCTTGGGAGAAAGTGCTGTGGTCGAAATAGAGCTCGAACAACATCCCCACAGTAAAGCACGGAGGTGGAAACATTATGTTTTGGGCTGTTTTTGATCTAAGTGTACAGGATGACTTTTCAGCAGGAATCCAGGGGTCATGTACTGTAAAATATTAGATGAGAACCTCCTTCTCTCAGCCAGAACATTGGATGGGTCTTTCTGCACAACAATGGCCCATGAAAACACCAAGGCAACACAAAGAGTGGCTAAAGCAGAAGCTCATTAAGGTTAATGAGAAATCAGTCGTATAGAAGGGGACTGAAGCTTCGGGTTACCAGTTTATAAAGCACCCGGTCACAAAAACAGTGGGCTCAATGCCCTGTACTTGCCAGTAATGTCATGAAACGCCGTGTGGCAGGAAGGAGATGAGGACTCAAAGTGCAGGACTCACAGACTCAAGGGATGCACTCAAAACCACAGCTTTATTTGCTGGTCACAGAAAAACAGCCATACAAAGTAAACTAAACTGGGAAACAACAAACTAAAATTCACAGGGAGATCCACACAGCGTGAGGAACAACACAACACTGACTCAGAGAAACACAGGGTTTAAATACACTGGGAAGTAACGAGGGGAATGAGACACAGAAGGAGGGCACAGCTGGGAGAAATCAGGACTGACGAGACAAGCAGGACGCATTCACATAAGACACGGACCTTCAAAGTAAAACAGGAAGTATCACACAGAGACGCGAACTTGACACAGTGGAGACAGCAACTAAGAAACACAGAGACATAAACCTAAAGGCAGAGGACTCTAAGAACCGAGAGACACAGAGGGGAACTCAAACATGCAGACACAGACTTACACAGAACAGAGGGGACACAGAGAAACATGAAGGGCAAGGGATCGAAACTAGAAACCATAGAATAACTCACACAAGTACAATAACACAAAAATCACAAAGAACTAAAACGCTGGGTCAGGAGACCCAGGACCCTGACAAGTAAGGGCTTTTCCACCAAGTACTAAGTCATGTTTTGCTTGGGTATTAAATAATTATTTCACTCAATGAAATCCAAATCAATTCATAACTTTTATTTATTTTTGTTTCTGGATTTTTGTTCGGTGTTCTGTCTCACTCCATTAAAATTAAAGCTTTCTCTCAAAATTTCAAAAATACCAGTGGATAATTTGCTTATGTATTTAAAGTGTTAATAAATGCTGCATAATAAGGTTTAAAATGTGCATTTCAAACCTTATTATCCCTCACTTATTAACTGTTTGCATGAATGCTCTGCAGGGGAAATTAAGAAGAAACGGATAAATGTAATTTTTTTCTGCACATATCTGCACTGGCTGGTTCTTCTTTTACTCACCATTGATGACTGGAGTAAACACTGCCATACCCTCAAAGTTTGGATTGCTCACAGTTTTATCCAGAATCAAACCACCAATACTGGGGAAGAAGAAAAGACACGATACATGTGAGTTGCACCTATTGCACTCCTACACTGAAAAGGAAGTGACACAGTGATCTGTGACAGGTCGCCTCACCTGCTGATGGACATGGCCAAAATGACTGGTTGCCAGCCTGACTTTAGGACCTCTCTGATTTGAGGAGAGCGACTAGCAATAATGACCCACACAGGGACGAGGAACAGGAAGAAACCACACACCACAGAGGGCAGGTACCATATGTCTGCAGAGTAACATTGTAGAGAATAAATCTTTCAAAAATATTCCACAAACTCTTCATGTACTAAAAAAAAAAAGATTGCTTCTCTTTATCTTTGAGTCTTTTTTGAGAGGGAGCAGGGATTGGTGAAAGAGCAGACTGTCAGAATGTCTGGCATCTACTTCTGCTGTAAGCATAAAAACTAAAGAATAAGAGATAGGATCTGCTGCCCTCTCCTGGCTGAAACACTTTGCTAATAACTGGCTGTAATAACTTAGTTAACCTGCTTTAAAGACTGCTTTAAAAAATGCTCTGATTGTAGCTGCAATCTTGTTTCTTTAAACATTCAGAATATTGAGACATACTGTGTACTGAAATGGTGCTTTTATAATGTTATATATGACCTCTGACCTCTGTAAAGGAAGAAGAGACTGCTGACCCCAGCGAGCAAAGACAGAGTGATGAGGTCTCCCAGGCTGGCAGCGATGGGCGTGGCCACGTTATCTGGGTTGATGCCCACCTTCCTGGAGCCGATGATCACTGCCACCATCACTAACCCTGAAACCAAACACAGCATACCAGAGATGAATTCCTCCATGTTGTGTTCTACATTGTTTCTTCCTCCAGAGCAACGAGGTCCTTTGTCTGACCTAGAGACAGTGCGGCAATGAAAGCAGTGGTGACACTGCTGGCACACAGGACAGCAGCCTGGGTAACATCCACTCTCCCTTTGGTCAGACCTCCAAGACCTACTGCTGCAACTGCTGCCAGGAAACCAACCACTGTGGCCTGAGCCTGAGGAAGAAGGACAGCGCAAAGACAAGGAAACAAAGCAATGAAAGAGCAAGTTTGATTTCAGACATTTTATTCTTTTAACTAAAATCTCACCAAATGTGCCCTGTGAGAGTAACAAAAATGCTTAAAGATTCTGATTCTATTTCCATATTTTCCTTCTTCGAATCTACTACAATAGCTCTGCATGACTTCCTGGTAAAAAATAACCTTTCTTAACCTTATACAAGGCCTTTGAGCAGCCCTGTGTTCTATCAGATGAGGAGATTTTCTAGCTCCTCTCCCTTTAAGCCAACTCTCATCTGATTGGTGCCCACAGATATTTTTGCACATGTTTTTATAATACAGTTATATGTTTCGAGCTGAAATGTTCCTGTTAAGGATCCCCCCTCTGTCATACTATATCAAATACAACTTCGTACCTACCCTGATCATTTTTAACACGTACAAGGGAGAAAATAAGGAACAGCATCCTATAACATTTTCTCCATAACAGTTAAAAGATTAATTTGTATTCCATATTTTATTAAGCATGTTTATAAATCCTAGTATTAAACTCTGTGGTAGCAATAAATGTATCAGTGTCAGGACCACTTTATGCCTGCTTTTTCCATCTGCAATAACTCATATTTTACAGTATGGGGACTCCCTGTTCCTTTCACAGGCACTTGTGAAAGGCTGAGTGTAAGGTGAGGAAGAGGGCGATACCATGCCGACCTCACAGAACAGTGGAGGCATCACTGACATGACATTAAGTGAGAAATACAGTGAACAGTGTGAATTGGAGGAGCTCTGGGGAAGGGAAGTGGGTTGCAAAGCAGCTTGCAGAAACAGGAGTGCCTGTCTAGAGGCTGAAGCAGCTGAAATTGTGCACCTATGTGAAATTTGCCACCAGGTTGCATACAGGGGCATCAGCTGAAGCACTGACTTTACATTTCACAGTATCCTTCCATGAAATATATGAAATGCTAAATACTTTGAAGAGTGCTGGTTAAATATCTTCATGCCGCTCGCACTGTGTACACTGCAGAGTGTATTTTCATAAGCAGACACTGAATTAAACCAGTTTTGGGATTTTGTGCTTCAATATCTGATCTGATCTCCCATTTTTTAATCATCCCCGACTGTTATCATGTGTGGTTAATTGGCTGAGCTACATTAGCGTCTTGAAAGGGAGGACGATCTAATCACCCCAGCAAAGCTTTTTGAGTTTAAGCGGATTGTCACGAAGCCAACAGCGAACCGGCGAAGTGATGGAGTGTGTTATTAATAGGATGAAGAGTGCGTTGTGCTGCAGTGTCACCTGAATGAGAGCCAGATTACAGAACACCATCCTCCACTGCTGCTGGGCCTCATCCATCTGCCCTGTGTTGGCCTGTGGGCACAAACAGGTTTACGTAATCATATTGTTCCATCGCACATCTCATCTCGAGTGTGAATGTGTAAAATCAATGCTCACTGGCAGACAAGATTATTTATTAGTACAGTCTAAATCCTGGAAAGATTTGATAAAGAAATTCACATGTATTGATTGTCGGTTCTTGTTCAATGATGCTGTATCAATGTCAGTTTATCATGTAATGTTTTAAAGGTATATTTGTGTTAAAAGACTAGGTGTGTGAGTGTTTTTCCACCCACTGCTGTTGACAGTCTGGATGCCAGTGTCATTTCCAGATTCCCCTTCAGACCCACGAGGGCTGGCACCAAGATAAACACCTCGGAGATCTCCTTGAACACCTCCCAGTGCTAAAATAAACAAAACAAAAAAACGGCACAGTAAAGCTACTGTTTGCTAAAACACAGTTGGCCCCTTATTTTTTAAACTGGTCACTATCTCTTTCCTTTCAGCACTTTTATAGGTGAAAAACACAGCAAGTGATCTCCTGGAGCTTTGTTGAGGACATGCCGGTTCTATCTGATCAAACCACTCATACACACTCCAGATTTGTGGTCTAATAAATAGTAGGACTGCAGTGGGTGAGTGGTCACTGTGTTCTTATCTAATCACATTCTTTGTGGTCAGATAAGCACCAGTGCTTTCATATGAAGAAAGCAGCAACATTAATAATTTCCAGGGGTTGATGGATTATTTTTGGCAGTGGGAGAGCTGACTACCTCAGAGTAAGACCCCTGCATTTTCATAAATGTGGACACGCTCAAACCAAGTTTAACTTCTGGTTTAATTCATGTTTACAACATTAGTCCAAAGGATTTTCTCCCAAGCTAATTGACACAACCTTTAACAAAGGTTTGTTATGGTGTTTAGCTAAAACAGACAGCCAGAACATTGACAGTACTCTGCAGCATTTTGCATCATACAGCTACACTATCAACATGCTGCTAAAACAGGCGAACTTTTCTGTGTTAGTATATTACTCCGGATTTTGGATTTATGGGTTTAGGCTGTGTATGAATATTTAGGAATGGGTGTATGATTTATCTCATAGTAAGTTTAGAACAGCATGTATCCAACTGCAGCAGCACCAGACGTCACGGTCTGTTCAGTCTTTCAGTAGCAGCAGCAACTCAGAGACTAAACTGGATGTGAAGACTCCTCATTTATTTAAACAGAACAATGGTTCAGTCCACTTAAAAGCTTACTTCATTTTAAAAGTGTAAAAGTATGTAATATGCTTCAAATGTTCGTTTTTTGTATCTTTCATTTAGTCTTAAAAAAAAAAGCTAGCAAGTAAAGTGTTGCCAGTAAGACGGCCATCGCTGTTACACGTGACCAAGTGACATCATTCATTAGTTTTGGACTTTGGATTTGAATATTGTGGCCTCAACTTTAACATATTGGCTGCCACTTTATTTCTGTTTTGTGGAGCAAGAAATAACCATAGTTGTGTGAGAGGGTGGAGTACAAATTACCAGCTAAGGTTAGCTAGTAGCTATATATATATATATAATCAGCTTCCTTTGTGGACACAGCGTTAGGTGTACAGATATCTGCTAATAAATAAAACTGAATCCTTAATGGAAGACGGCTGATCTTCATATTTCAGCCTACCACTAACATTTGTTCCTATTATTTCTGTACATCTTGGTTTGATTGCAAAGCATACATAGGGAATGACATAATCACCTCTTTCATCCTCACTACTGACCATTCAAGGTTACATTAAACACTGTCACTATAAAACCTGTTTTACAATCATACCTAATTAGAAATTAGTGTATACAATTTAACACATTGAAAATAATTAGTTTCCATACTTGCACAACATCCATGACTATTCCTGCTGCCACCATTCCCAGACCAGACACCAGGTAAGGCAGCAGGATTTGGGCTGCAATGATCCATGAGTTCTCTGGCAGGAAGCTGCGGGCTGAGCGGGTTAGTTTGCACTTGAAGCCCCTCAGCTTCTTCCCCTGGAAACGAAACTCCAGAGCCAGATGGGTCACCACCATGGCTGATCCCTGTTAACCCATCCCTGCCTCGAGCTGAAGTGTTTCTAGCGAGGAGTGTCCACAAACTCAGCTTTCGAGCTGAATCCGTGAAGGCTAGTTTGAAAAGAATGTAACGATCCACTTAGAGTAAGAAGTTGCAACCAGGACAGAGAAGATTTCCTTTTTCCAGACTGTTAAGTTCTTGTGACAAAAATCCAGACTTGCCGTTAAGTCACAGGTGATGAAAAACAATGCTTAAAGAAGAAGTAAACAGTGCTTTGCCCTTCACCTGTCACTCCAGGACTGGCAGGGCAGCAACACAAAGTGCTTTTGCAAATGGTGGACTAGCCAGAGGAATGGAAACTTTCATCTACTTGAATAGACCACTCACACAATCACACACACAGACACACACACACAGGACCACTTGACAGCAGGTCTGCCAGGCCTCTTCTGACACTGTGCTACTGACAGACCATCACACACACGCACACACAGACACACACACACTCTCCAGACACACACATGCCCCCTGTCTTTCTCTCCTCACGCCTCACTCTTCAGCAGCCGGGCGGCTGAGGCGGAGCGCTGGAATCCCGGCCTCTCACGGGGCCTGAAGAAGGTCCAGGTCCTGTGAGACAAGGACATCCAGAAGGCCAGCAGCTTCTTCTCAGCCCTACTGTGCTGCCACTCCTTCTCCCTCTCTATCTCCTCGCTGCCGTGCTGTTGCTCTGTGTGAGCCTCACTGCTTTGGAGCACCTTCTTCATTTTAATCTGTGGGACGCCGCGGTGTCGGCCTAGGCTGCGCTGATGGACGGTCTGACGTCTGAGGCTTGTCTGAGGAGGCAGGGTGATTGTTGTTGTTCTTCTGGTAGGGCTTCCCTCGTCTTCCAGGTGGATCGATGAGTCGTGACGTTTTCTGTGATGGTGGCAGTCACAGAAAAAGTGCACACGAGTGTGTGTGCAGGCGTGATGATCAGAAAGATGTCTGAGTAGAAGCAGAAGCGACCAGGCTGTATCAGGACTCTTCTCTCCTCCTGGTCTGTTTTCAGATCAGTTCAGAGGAGACTGCAGATGTGCTCTCCCCCTCTTTGATAGCTCCTCCTTCTCCTCACACTCTGAGTGGGTGACGCACTCAGAGCAGCAGGTGCTGTACCTGTCACAGACACGTGGTGCTGCTGCCTGCGGAGGATGCAGTGTATCCTCTTTGACTGGAGGAAGCACACACGCTGCCACTAACTGATATTTACAGTCTGTCAGAGATCATTACGTCACACCTTCTTATGTCATTTGCTCTTCTGTGTTACACAAAGTAATGATTGGCGACGCATGGCACAGCAATAATAATCTGCTGTTTCTTCATGTGGATAAACTGCTGCTTTAGGTGGAACAGAAAGATGGAAATAGGGCAAGTTCTGCGACTTTGTGTTTAAAAAGAGCATTTTTTCCTCCCCTCTGGTCAAACTACAGTAAACATAGTAAAATAATGTAAAACAGCAGAGCAGATGAAGCAGACTGCTTGGTAAACGACATTGTCTCAGACACACGTACATGAAGACAGTGACTCAGCTGAAAAGTGTCCTTGAGACATGACTTGGTGCTCCACTCTCTACAGCTCCCCCTTCTGACTTCTTCCTGTACTTTGAACAGTGAAGCAACAGCTGCTAAACACTGAGCTGTAACTAAAATAATCTTCTTGAGCATTGCTTTTTGGCATCTCAGATCACCTCACATCTCTCTGTTTCACTAACGCACCAGCAAAACACCAAAAGGCTTTTCTAGATCCCGGAGCTCATATTACATTTCAAATAAATCTCAAAAGGGCCTGTTGCCAAACACAGAGGCAGCTTCAGTCCACATTTCAATGTCAGTGAAGATTCACTGCACCTCTTCCTCTCAAAGTTTGGTAGTAAATTTTATGTAATAAAAAGGAAACAGGTCCTGCTTTCAGTAGGAAAACAGTATCTGTCCCATAAAAGTTAGAAACACTGAGGACTCTGGCTGGATGCTAGATTCACTTTTAAAACCAACGTGGAACATCTATCAAAAAGTTAAAGACATGTATCTCACTCGTCATACATCCACCCAGAAGCATGCTGATTATGTGTATCACTGTGCATTGAGTGCTTTAGTGTGTGTTTCTTTCCAATCATTGTATCTTCTATGAATAAGGCAGATGTTCTCTTTAGTGAAGACAAGAGAGAGCATTGTATGACATTCATTCACAAGCCTGTAATTGTTATCTCTGCTCTCTGATTACATATAAAGATATCACTCACAGTGTGTAGCCACAGCACATTGTAACATTAGCAGCAGGGCTTAGTCATAGCATAATGTCCCCGATATAAATTTCTAGGCGGTATAAAAATCATACTGCAATGTCGTTGCTATAGCAACACAATACTTTACATTTTGACCTTTTTGCTAAAAGGTTAGCAAAAAATAAGTAAAGAAAATAAAAAGCATGAATTCTGACTTGTAATAAATATAACATTTCTGTAACCAAATTAGAATTCATTATAGGTTTTTAATTATTATTGAAAGCTTCAGGTTTCTACAGTACGAAGGAGTATCAGGACCACGTTAAGAAAAAAAATCGATCATTTTGAGAAAAAGGACAAAATGTTGAGAAAAAAGTTGAAATGTAGAGATTATAGTTGTTGTTTGAAAACAAAGTGCCACAGTTGCTATTCCTCGGAGTCAGCGAAATCATACTTCAGAATCCGTTTTAGTAACGAGGAAGGAAATGATTTCCCTTTTAGCACATAAACATATTGTGGTGATCAGTATAAGTGCTGTGAAATGATTTAGCAGAAAGAAAAACACACAAACTCACAAGAGCGGATTCATACAAAATAAAATGACTGGCAATGAACAGATACACCCTCGTGCAGTAAAGAGGATGTATGTTGTGTCACAAATTCATCTAAACAAGGTATTTTGTAGAGGGTACAGCAAACGTAGCAGTTTGTCTTGACACAACAATGGTAATCTCCACATGCTGACTTTTCTCAAAATAGATTTTCCACTTTAATTTTGACTTTATTCTTAAACTGATCAACAATATTTTCTTCTTAATGTGGCCCTAATACTCTGTTGTACTACAGATTTACAATATAACAGGAAAATGTGAAAGTTGTTTAAGAGGCCTAACCCTGCCTAATGATTTTTTATCCATTTACACAACTGCAAAGTCTGCCAGTGTTTCTCCTTCCATTTTCATTTACAGTCTAGCCTTGTTTCAGTTGTCCCATAGTCACTTGTTGCCGTGTTCATGGGTAATTGCAAATTGCTTTCAAACCTTATTTACTTCCCATAGGTCAAGGCCACTTCATAGTTGGTCATGGTGACCTCCAAATCTATCATGAGCTCACAGCTCAGTTACTTCACCTGAGATAAGCTTGGACACGTCACAGTGTAGTTCAGATTGCTTACCAAGTTTTTGTCAGAATTTTTTAAAATGTAATTTTAAAGATAGGTGTGATGATACTTAATAACCTTGTTGTGATCATATCATTCAAAGATTTGGGAAAACACACAAGAGCAATAATCCCAACTGTTTTATTCTAACTTCAGTCATACAAACCTAAGAAACTTGCTAAAAATCACCAATCATTTCAGTGCAGATCACACCTGCTAGTTCAGACCTGCAGTGAAGTGAGGAACATAAACAATACTTTCTACTGACTTTTTGGGTGAGGAGAATGAATTCTGTGCTTTATCAGACTGTACTAGACCTGCAGCTACCCTGTACAGAACAACACTGTCATAGTTCTTTGATTCAGCAGCTGGTGTGTTACTGACCTGCACACAGTCTAGCAGCATACCAGCCGTCACCATGCCCAGCCCTGCCAGCAGGTATGAAGGCAGCACCTGAAGGCAGATCACCCTTGATGACTCTCTGCAGGAAATGTGAAGCTTTGGCTCCTCCATCTTTTCAGGACAGGGCAGCTATACAGCTTCTAAGATTGATGTTTGTTCTGCAAAGCTGCCAATGATCAGTGCTCACACAATCCAAACTGCTGCCAACCAGAAGAGCCCAAAGCTGTTTGAACTTCAATCGGTCAACCTGTCCTCCACACTTCTCTGTGATAAACGCAGGTATCTGTGCTAACGTGTGTTCAGTTGTTCTGTCTAGCAGAAAAACACATGATTTGTTCCTGTTTCTTTGGTTTAATCTATGAAAAAATGCCATTGATAACATAGTTTGACAGTTGTAAAATAGTATTTTTGAAACAACAAATTGTTTACCAAAGAGCTACTAACCAAAATTTATAAGAGTCAACATGCTTTGCAGTATGTATGCAAGCAATTTTGCACAAACTGGACAAGTGGAAGACTAAAAGAACATGTGACAGGCCTGACAAACTATCTACAGCAGAAGAACAGTAGCAAGTCATAAGAAACTGGAAAAAAAAAAATTCAGCAAAGACCTGAGACAGTACATGCGTGATGCATCTCACCTTTCACCTGATCCATCTAATTTTTGCTCAGTCCTCATCAGAAATGATCTGCGGGGTCTTAAGTAGTCATACGTAAGAATGGCAAATGGGGAGAAAAGACTGATCGATGCCTAATTACACAAGAACTGGACTGAAAATTGGTGCCAACCAGTCTGATGGAGTGATTAGTCCAAATATAAAAGTTCTGGTTGGAGTTATTGTCAAAATTGAGAAAATTATAAATGCGAGTACCAAGATATCTGGAGACTGTCAGATTGACAGGGATTTTATTTTTCAGCATAACAAGGATCCCAAACAAAAGGTCAAAGAAAAAGCATACGTGGATAGACAAACACAGAGTGGACCACTGAAAGTCATGCATTGGCCTCCCAGAGCCAAGAACTATTGTGGGATCATCTTGACAAAGAAAGGAACAAAAGGCAGTCAACATCCAAAGAAGAGCTTTGAATGTTCTTCCAGAAGCCTGGAGAATTATTCCTGAAGACTACTTCAAGAAAGCACGAAAAGAGAAGTTCAGTCTGTATTGAACAATAAAATGAAGGACTGTCGTTTGCCTAGCTAAATGTAATAACAAGAGGGGTGGCAAAAGCTATTTTCACAGTACTGTAATACAACTTTTAACTACTAGCTCTAATGCCATCATCATCTCTCCTTTTAAGTCTGCCAATGGATCTGTCCATCTTCATACATAAATATATGTAATATGTTGGAGTTCAATGTACCAATGGCTAGCTGGTGCTGCTTAATTCATTACCATGCTATGTCTGATATAAGCCTATTTTCCCACATAACAAAAAACAAACAACCTTAATAAATAAGTATCATCTGCAGCCCCCGTGACCCCTACCAGGTTTGCAGGGGGGCTGCAGCCTATCTCAGCTATCACAGGGCGAGAGGTGGGGTACACCCTGGACAGGTGGCCAGTCTATTGCAGTAAGGTTACCCAAAACTAAAAAAAATAGGCCTTTTTCAAGAAAACAAAAATGGATTACCAATTTAAAACTGTTCTGCAGCAATGAAGATTGATCAAGTCTTGAAAGGTGGTGCTACTAATTCCTACAGGTGCTCCAACTTTTCTGGATGACTTACTCCTCTGTCTGCATAAAAGCAATGTTAGAACACACTGTGTTGTGAGCATCAGTTGAACACTATTGTACTGCAGAAAGTAGTGTGTTGATACAAAAATGGCAAGAAAAAGGCAATTAACAGTGGAAGCGAGACAGACCATCATAACACATAAAATGTAGGTCTTTTCTACAGAGAAATTGCAAAGAAATTCAAGGTGTCAGTGAGCACAGTTCCTTCACCATCAAAGACTCAGAAACTGGGAAACTCTGACAGGAAGAGGTCTGGCAGACCCAAAGCCACAACTGAATCAGAGGACAAGTTTCTGAGAGTTAACAGCTTGTGTGATAGGCGACAGGACAACAGCTTCAAGCACAGCTTCATAGTGGTCGTAGTAGCAAGTCTCAGTTTCAGCTGTGAAGAGAAGACTTCGAGCTGCAGGTTTGACAGGACGAGTTGCAGGAAGAAAGCCTTTGTTAAGATTTCAGAATAAGACTTGGCTTGCCTGGGCCATGAAACAACACCATTGGACTACTGA